ATTTTCCTTCGGCGGCTAAAAGTTAGGCGGCCAAGTTACCTATCCCCGTATTAAGATCAATTTATCCAAAAAACTTGATTCGAATTTTTCTTCGTGAAAAAATGGGAAAAACTGCGATTTTTCTTGAATAAATTTGGTAGTTTTTTATTCAAATTTTATTTAGTCAAAATGAAATACACTGTGTTTAGGTCGCCTCAATGTATATGTTAACACATTCTAGACATTCATTCAACGTCCTTTATTCCGTTCATTCGGTCATGTTTTAGAGCCGTGAACGAAGTTCTGCATGTGAAGTTGCGATGGAATTAGTGGTTGAGAGTCGGTCATTGTTCACCTGTTTCGATAACTCTTCTATCATGCGTGGAGCTTCATCAAGACGATGTTTAAATGTTGCGATGTGAATTTTCTGTGCACAAAGCATGAACTTATAGTCAAATGGACTTAATTCTTGTGGTCGCATAAATTCATCACTTTTAACAATTCTACGATAGTTTCACTGAGATGAATTGGACTCAAATTGATATGCGTATAGTTGTTGAAATCGACATCAATTTACCCAATTTTGATAGTCAGATGTTCTAAATGTTATACAAATCAAACAGCAAAGATTATTTTGTTTGTTTATCCTGAAATGTAATGGACTCAACTACTTTAGGGTATGTTCGAGTCGTTTTTCAATTCAATGAAAAATGTATTGATTCTGATTGTTCGTTATATTTGAAGAAATTGGTTTCATTCTATTTTTCGATCGTTATTGTTTGCGTTTTCCGTAGAAATTTATCCAACTTTCTAGAAAATAATAAGCAAATAACTCAAGTCGGTGACCGAAACAAGACCCACGCATTCATATTCATGGAACATTGGAACATCGTCACATTTTTGACGCATGTTATTAAATTGTTTCACGAAAATAATCTATTTTAAGCGTTTGGAAACCCAATTTTGGATTTCGTTTTCTTCACAGTTTTATCCATAGTTGAATTTAAATGCCGTCATCAATAGACCGATCCGCACGTAAGTATCGATAACAGTAAATTCAACAATGACGTATTTTGGATGAATATTTGATAGTTATTCAATATTGATAGCTAATTTTGGAATGAAATATGTGTCCTGTATGTGGTGGACAATGGAATAAAAGGTGCCATCACATTGAGTGTTCGCTCATTCATTCGGTAGACTCGTGTGTGAGAACAACTTCCAGAGCTCACAGCTAGATTCTAACACAAGTGTTCTTTTGGTTTCGTTCATAAAAATTAGTGAATTGGAAAATTCCAAATTCAAGTTAGAAGTAAATTATTAGCAAAATGGAACAAATCAATGTCGAATTCGGTGATGAGGTTAAAAAGGCCCTATTTGGAGTGGTCAAAGATTTACTGCAAATGGACACATTTAAAGTTCGCATTGAGCCAGGCTCTAGAAAAGGTTTCTATTTTTATGTTATCATAATCTGAAAAAAATTCAGCTATTGATTAATGATTAGTTTAGTTTAAATCGTTGAAAAAAAAATCAATATCTAAAATGTAAATCCCGAATTTTCGTTTGAAGGTGATAATTTCATTGGAATCGTTTATCATATCATCTTTTGTACTGCAGATGAGAAAGAAACATCAAAATTATTTCTTAAAGTGGCTCCAAGCGATGAGTACCGGAGAAAGCAATTTCACGTTCGTAAATGTTTCTTGCGGGAAATTTACATCTATGAAAAGGTAATTTAAAAATCTTTTGAATTTAATTGAACATTTTCTTTGAAAAGCGACCTATTCTTCTTCCAGATTCTGCCATATTTCCGTGAGTTTCAAGAAGACAGGGATATTCTCGTGAATGAAGACGGATTTCACGAGTATTGTCTCTGCTACAAATCCATTGATGCCGAACCAATCGAATGCCTGTTCCTTCAAGATTTATCAAAGTTGAGTTTTTCGATGGTCGACAAACGAGAAGTGACGGTAGAACATATTTTGCTTGTAATGAATTTGCTTGGGAAATTTCATGCGGTTTCGTATGCCATAAAAGATCAACAGCCTGACCAATTTTCGGAAATTGTGAACAAACTTCAAGAGCACATCTATAGGCATGGATATAGTTCCGATTTGACTGAGGCATACAATGCTGCTGCGATGAATGTGATTAATTCCATAACCGATGATCAGGATGTCCATTTGCTAGAAGCCGTTTTGCGACTGTATGAACGCGACCAATATGACATTATGGTGGAATGTGTTGATGGAAATGCTGCCGAACCGCATGCAGTTATAGTACACGGTGATATGTGGTCGAACAACACTATGTTTCAATTCAACGACGCAAACATTCCAACCAAAGCCTGTCTGATTGATTGGCAAATCGCGCGATATGCGAGTCCAGTTTTAGATGTTCTGTATTATATTTTCTTGAGCACAACGAAGGAGCTCCGCGGCCGAAATTATAACATGTACCTGAAGACGTATTATGAAAGCCTATCTAGTCATTTGAGAAGGTAATTTCTTTGCACGAGACTTTTTTTTTCTCAATTCCCAATCATTTAAACTAAGGAATGAAAATTGAATTGAAATTAATTGAATTATTATTTTTTCTAAACTTTTAGACTTGGTTCCGATCCAGATGAAGTGTTTCCATTCAGTGCGCTGCAAGAGCAGCTACAAAAGTTCGGGAAATATGCATTGATACAAGCATCTTTTTTGTTGCCCGTTTTAATGGCAGAAGTCGATATTGACGTGGAAAACAATAACAGCTCACCAGACCTGTCCGATATATTCAAAACACGCCTCAGAGACATTGCGTCAGACGTGTATCGATTAGGATATATTTGAACGAACAAACAAAGTTAAATCTAATTTTAGTTCATCGAAATTTTTCTAAAATTCAACTTTTTTTTGAAACATGACTACGTAATATTTTTTAGAGCAACGCAATGTATGTTAACGGCACTTTTTTACGGTTGACAACACAGAAATAATTGAATTCGAAAATTGTATCTGCCTACATTGATGTATCAATAAAATCGATGGTGTATTACATTCAACAATATTTTCAATCCATTTTCAATTCATTTCTTTAGATTTATCAAACCGTTATAGGTGCTTGGAAATTCGTTTGGACTATGGAAATAAATCTGGAACGTAAAATATTGAAATACACCGTGCAACGCATGTTTCTGCACATGAGAAATTCCGATTGCTTGTTTTAGAGGACCAAAAACCAAGCACTTTTGCATCATTAGTTTGTTCGAAACCACGTCTAGATTTTTTTTTTATCAACACATATAACCCAAATTTCAGGTCAAAATGAGC